AGAGAGAGAGAGAGAGAGAGAGAGAGAGAGAGAGAGAGAGAGAGAGAGAGAGAGAGAGAGAGAGAGAGAGAGAGAGGATTACCTGCTGAGAGGTTTTGTGCCATTGGGACACTGTGCAGGTTGTGCTTTAGCTAACGTCGAGTGTGTGGAGCTCAAGGAGAACAATCTTCCTGAGTTGCGTATATAAAGTGTGGAGCTCAAGGTTTTGTGCCATCGTCGTAGCGATCAACGCTTGGCATAATGGCAGAGGACTTCCCTTGCGATATGCCTTTGTCTGGAGAAGCTGTTGTTGCCGTTCCAACTGCGCCCGGAGCGCCCATTATCGTTCCGTCAGAGGAAAAAACATTGGTTAAGAAGGTTCGTCTCCTCCTCCATCGACAATTTCAGATTGGCGTTGGCGATGGTCGCACGTTCGTCGGCAAGTTTCACTGCCTGGACAAGCAGGGCAACATCTTGCTCGCAGATGCAGTCGAGTACAGGCAAACGAGCAGTGACTTCTGTGATGCGGGTGGCGAAAAAGACGACAGCAAGAAAGAGGAGCTTAGCGTGCCTGGAAGGCAGCCCCTTCGACCTCAGATGGAGCAGCGCAGCCTGGGTCTGGTCCTGATTCCGGCGAAAGCGCAGGTTTCATGCAAGCTAGTGACAAGGATGGACGACAAGATGGCCCATCTCTCTCTCAACCCCTGAAATACCTTATGACCCGTTGCAGCGATAGCTATGGCACTATCAGGGTGACGACCGTGGACCTCGTTCCACCACTCAACGTTTGACCCGTATCTGGACTGCGTAATGGACCAGATGCATTCGAGCTGATGGAACATTTTGAATATACTGGAGCCAGGAAAAAAAAAAAAAAGGATTGCGGCGTTATGAATTGCTGCAGTGATAGGTAAGGGTTACATTAGAATGTTGTGTAGCGGAGAGAGGCCCCATTTCTCATCTCGTGAGATATGTGGCACTTGTTCGTTCATGCAGGAGGGCGCAAAGAGTGACGAATCATCAAATCACTGTTGTTGTTGTCATGTTTTTTTTTTTTTTTTTTTTTTTCTGGGACCTTCCCTGGAACTATGTCACAGTGCTGTATATTTCTATCCTTTCTCCTCAGGAAGGTTTTTTTTTTTTTTTTTTTTTTTTTTTTTTTTTTTTTTTTTTTTTGACATTGCATCTAGAATCGCTTTCTAAGAAATTGATTGATCGACGATGCAGTGCCAAGCGTAGCTTTCCCATGCCTAAATGTACTTTTAATTTTTTTATTCTAATGNTTTTTTTTTTTTTTTTTTTTTTTTTTTTTTTTTTTTTTTTTTTTTTTTTTTGCGATGAGCTGCCGGATATGGGAGTGGGCAATAACATAAATCAAAACAATTGTCTATCACTGTTGTTGTTATCCATTTTTTTTTCAGCATGGTATGTAACCGGCCAGACGTCCGGACCGGGTTCCAGACAGTCCGGAACAACATGTCGGTGTCTGGTGTCCGGTGTCCGGTCCATGATGTCTGGATGGAGTTCCCCGCGGCAAAAATCGAAAAAAAAGAAGGGGCAGCCCAGGACGTTTTCCGGGTCCTGGCCGCCCCTTCAAAAATAACGGGGTGATTTTTCAGCGTTGTTTCACTACACCGGACAGGGGCTAGAGGTCCGGACACAATACACTGCAGGTTTTGGGGGTGGCGGGTTTCACACAGGCCCGAGCAATTTCAAAGCGGCCGTTTTGACATGCCGCCCGCCGCCCGACGCCACTGCCCGTTGTCGAGAGAGAGAGAGAGAGAGAGAGAGCACTGACAGTGCTGCCAGTCTGAAGTTATGAACTTAAATTACTTAATTCTTTTTTTTTTTTTTTTTAATTACTTAATTCGAAGTTCGAAGTTAATCATACTTTTTTCAAAAAAAAATTATGTGTTTCTTTAGTATTGTGCCTGCTTTGCACTGATCGCAACTCTGCATGTCTGCTACTAGTTGAATGTGCTTGTTCATTTGCTGCAAGACAGGTGTTCTGCTGCCTGAACTACAAAGTGCAAAACAGGTGAGTGCCTGCCAGGTGAGTGCCTGCCAACGACTGAATGCAGAGAACCTGGTCAAACATCTTTGCGTGTGTTCTCAGAACAAATAGATTATGCTCAGGCACAAGCATCTTCTCCTTACGGAATCTTAGGTATCAGGGTGTGGGTCTCTTTTTTTTTTTTTTAGGCCCTTGTGCAAGACCTCTATCCTGGTGGTGGTAAGAGAACCACCGGGATTGAGGTTTTGCCTAGCGGGCCGCTACATCTATTGGTGGGGAGCAACACCTGCTGGAAACCGGGTCCAGCGTCCCAAAAATACATCTTTGCCACACATTACATCAATGAGGAGACGCCAAAATGCTGGAAACCGGGTCCAGCGTCCCTTATCCACTCTACTCTTCCATCCCTAACCTGCATCAGGGTCGGGTGTTGGGGGGTGACCCACCGGGGCGCACCGGTGGAGTCTCCCTCCATCCCCTTGCCTCTGCCATCCACCCATTACTCTCATGGCGCCTGTTGAAGCAAAGAGAAGAAAAAAAGGAATCAGACGAGATCTTTTTGAAAAATACAGCCTCATCTGCTGGGAACCGGGCCCAGCGTCCCATGACTACATTTGTGCAAAACAATACCCCTCCCCTAGCTCCTGCGCTCCACCTGCTGTCCTCATGGCGTCCCGTCCAGCGTCCTTTAAATACATCTTTTACTCCACAGTACTTTGTTTTGAGGGTGACACCATTTTGCTGGAAACTGTCCCAAATCCGATTTACTCTTCCTTGCCTACCTTGTAGCCGGGTCGGGTATTGGGGGCCCGTAAGGATAGAATCTACTCATTCTATTGAGATGCAACCCCACACAACCGAGACTTATGACGTAGTCATTTCTACTAGAGATAGAGGGTGTGGGGGGAAGGGGTCCGGGAATTCAGAAGCTGGCCTCATTGGGAAGTTCGGGTCAATGTCAGTCCATTCTTTAAATTTCAGACAGTAGTCCCTGCTTACCATTTCTCCCCCTCCCTGAAGGCCCACGTCCGCATCCCCTGACCATCTTACCTGGGCAATCCAGCCTTCTCTTTCCCCACCCAACCATTCTTGGCAGAATTTAGTGATGCTCTTTAATGTCTTTGGGTTGCTGAAGGAGGCCTAGCTTGTGTTTTTCTGTCTGCTATCTATCAGTTATGTCCAACTGTAGTTGGTTTTGGATATGCTCGCGCACCTCCACCCCCTCCAATCGCACGCCTTCCATTGTCAAAACACATCTTTGCCACCACAGTGTCCATAAGATTGTTTGTCTCCCCAGGTCAAACATGTTATTTGCAAATTCTTCTTCGGGCCGTCCTGACCAGTAGCCCGTTAGGATGGCCCGCCAGTCCCATGGCCAGAGGGATCCAAGGACTATGTGCTGCCAGATGTGGTCCCACCAGTGCCAGGAGAGGACGGCGTTCGGGCACTGTAGGAAGATGTGCTCAATGGTTTCGGCCGCTTTTTTGGCCGGGTACTCGTGGAGGCATCTACTGCACCAGGGGAGAGCGCGGCCTTGTTGTTCCAACCTGGTGTGATCAATCAGCCAGTTGTTAGTAGGATGACTCCTATGAGTTATCTGCCATTGCAGGGAGGTGATTTTGGCTGGCCTCCTCTTGCATTCCTGGAACCACTTAATTGGGGTTAGCAGACGTCTGTCAACGTTTAGGTGTCTATATCAACGATCATTCACTGTGTCTTTTAGGTTCCATCTTGGCCTGATCATCCTGTATGTGGTTTTAACAGAGAGGTTTTCAAGTGTTGTGTCCCTGTGGGTACCTCCTCGTGTCGGGCCAACGGGTTTCCATCTCCATTCCATTGGGTCCAAGCCCAGTTCCGTGATCGGGGTTCCAGGTTTATATATCCAGCGGTTTTCACCTTCCCCCATCACCCTAACCCGGTTCACCTCTTCCTTGTTCGTCCAGACAAAGGGGGCTGCACTGCCAATTAGTCTGTTCCCCTTCGTTATCATATAGTACTCAATTAACACTTTCGTGGGTCTGCCCAGGTGGACCACCCCAACCCTACCACGGCCCCCTCTCTGCATTACCCAGTCACCTTCCTTGTGGACCTGGCCCGTTCTTAGAATATTATACCACTGGAGGGGAAGGGCTTCTATTGTTCCATCCAGAGCCTCTTGCACATGATGGCAATAGCGTAGTTTCTCCTTCATTTGTTCTAGATTCCTCCATGTTCCGGTTCTGACATCCCATAGGTCCCCCACCCTCCTTATCCCATGTTTGATCCAACCTTTCCATGGAGGGGCAAAGTTGCTCCTCACCTGCCCGTGGGAATTCGTGATACGCCGGTTGCCAAAGAGGGGTTGTCGATATACTTCCTCCCATCTTTCTGGTTCCGGACGGTCTGGGGGGGGGAGCTTTCGTCATATTTTGATCATTCGTGGCCAGTATTCGTCCTTTAATGTGCCCTCCCTTTGATCTCCCCTCCCTTTGCGGGGGAGTTTCCAGTACCTGTCATCCAGCCATAAGAGCAGGTCCACCCCTGCTGGGGTTTCTGGTGCAAGTCTGGCGATCTGTTCCATTGCTAACGGGTGTCAGGGTTGGGCGGGTTCCAGAATAAGGTTTTTAATCCATTGTGTGCTAAGGGCCTGGGTTTGGAGGGTCGGGTCAATAATCCCCAGACCACCTTTAGCCTTGGGTTGGATTACTGCGTCCCACGCCACCCTGCTAATGGCGTGCGCGCATCCACTGTCTCCTCTCCACAGAAAGGTCGCTGCCTGCTTTTTGAACGCTTTTAAGGTTGCTGCACTTAAAGGCCAAATGAGTGATTTGTACCAAAGTGATGCCATGACAACATTATTGATGACTAGTGCCCTTCCGGAAATCGAGGTTGGCTTCTGATTCCATTCCCTCATCCTGTCTTGAGCGGGCGACTGGACCCATTCGTCATTCGTGGTGGGCTTCCCAATTGTTGTCATTTGGACGCCCAACACTCTCACCGTGGCTTCCAGGGGGAGCCATTTAATGCGGGGGGCTTCAGGCGGTCGCCCCCCTTGATGGTGCATCCACCACCCAACTGTTTTGGTCCCCCAGTTGACGACCATATTCGACAGTTTGCAGAAACGATCCATCAGCCTCTGTATCTCCTCCGTGTTACCTTCCCAGGCATCCGTCATTATTGTGAGATCGTCGGCGAAGAGGGAGCATACCGGGATGGCTTCCTATGGGATATTTGCAATCTTAAATTTCCGGATGTCCTTGTTATGCCGTAAATTGGCCGACAGTGCTTCCATAACTATAACGAAAAGGAAGGGGGCGATGTGGTCCCCTTGTCTGACCGAGCGCTGCAGCGTAACTGCCGGTGCTAAATTCCCATTTATTTGCACACGTGTCGTTGCGTTGTGGTGGAGGATATGAACCCATCTTCTCAGGTTGGGTCCGAAATTCATTTTCTGGAGGCATGCATCCAGGAAGGTCCAATCTACATGGTCATAGGCCTTCTCGAAGTCAATAAAGATGAAGGCCGCATTCTGTTTCGATTGTTGAGCCAGATGGATCATCTCATTGACTAGGAGTATGTTTCCTTGAATGTTTCTGGACCTTATAAATCCTGATTGGGCCGGGTGGATAATATCTTTCATTATCTCAAGCAATCGATTGGCGAGGGTTTTAGCAAGCATCTTGTAAACGACTGTTACCAAGGTGATGGGTCGGTAGTTTCTAATGTTCATTTTGTCTCCTTTTTTGTATAAGAGGGACAGCGCCCCCTGACCCACGCATTCCCCCATCTGTCCAGTTTCCCACACCTCCCCGTAGTAACTCATCAGGTCTTGGTGTAGGCTCGGCCACATGATTTCCCAAAATTCTTTAGGAAAACCATCCAACCCTGGAGTTTTGTCCTTATCCATTTGTAGGAGGGTCGTCCATATCTCCTCTTTC